AACTACATGGAATATCGGTCACTTGAAAGCGGAATGAAAATAACACACATGACCGTCGAAGACGGATTCGCAGACGAATGGGCAGTCCATCAGCCCATTTCGCTACTTCATCTTATTCAGAAAACTTTCAATAAAAAGCACATAAATCACTAACATAACCAATGGGGTGGATAAATGTAACGGCCCTGTGATTCACCTACCCCTTGTCCAAATATCAATTGAGAGGAAGCAAAGAGAACCGCACACCAAGTTTAATCAGTGATGGCAACAGGAATTCCTCGCCCTGCTTGTGTATCACCAAGCATGAAATTAAACACACAAAGAAAAGGATACGTCCAACGTAAGCTTCCAACTCTGAAGCCATTAAATTGCCGTCGGAGCTAGTTCTACAAAGAGAAAGTTTAGCGCTATTGTTAACAAGTTACTTTAAGGGGTGAGTGCAACCACTAATCAAATAATGTACAACTAGTTTATGTCCGTTACTTGAGTATAAAAAGACGATTGAAGGGAATAAGGTCTGGCGTAACAATTACTGTAATGAGAACCGCAAATGCAGCTAAATAACAAGGTATTTCTGCGTTGAGACAGAAACAACTGGCACCAAAAGTGAGATTCATAATCAGCATGTCACTTCAGAGAAATATCGACTTTAAGAAGATGGATGCAGAAGCAGGTGAGTAGGGAAGACTTAAAAGGTGGGGAAAAGGACGCTAGCAAAAACAGCCGTGGCTAGTGCCTAGGCAATGAAAACATCAAGATGTGGATCAAAGTGGCGAGCAAGGAATTAGAACATTTGAGAAGATCAAGGTTCGCAAGATACACGCCCCAATACGGAGCAATGCACGGTGGATGCGTATGACGGCAACCACTCACTGATGTTTCGATGAGATTAGAGCAAGTAATTAGTCTGGTCACGTTCTCAAAATTGCTACTGTACCCACAAGACAAGCAAAAACGTTCCGAACAGACTAATCTCGGTTGCGATACTAACCAACAAATGCTACTGCCACGGCTCTATCCTTCCCTCGCGTTCCCTCGGTTATCTGATCGTCTTTGCTCCGGTGATCGCTCCAGTTAGTGACTTATTTATGTTAAAGACTCGTTTGTTTAGATATTAGTATTTTCACATTTTCGTCTAGATGGGTGCTCAGAAGTGACTGAGAATAAATGAACGAACACTGTGGGATGAAGCAACGACAATAAACAAACAGGTGAACCGCGAAAATGTGAATGCTATGAGCAAAATACAATTCAAATCTCGAAGTAACTCCTCTCCCACCCCGACTACGATACACCGTGCTTGAGAAGAGTAACAACTTTCATATGGTTTCAATCATGATTACGAGCTCCTAGAAAAACAAATATCAGGTTGCTAGGACACGTGAAATGAGTGGCAATGTAAAGGAAAGCACTGCCGCGTTATAAAAAGCATGACGCTACTAAAACTGAAAAGGCACTTCTCAAGACGAAAAGCGCACTTGTAATGGAAACAAAACGTGGTAGTGGGTGTTTACAAGGCGAAAAAGTCAACCCAACTTTTTTTGGAAATAGGAAGCACATTAGGGTATAATGGAAAAATGGCAATTAATCTGATATACAATTTGTAGAGCAAGTAATTCTTGTAAAAAGGCCCTCTGTGTCCACACCTCACTCTTAAGAGACGCAAAAAGAGGAAAATTATTATATTTCCAACAAGCACATAAAATAAGTCGGTTTATGCAAAAGGTTTTATTGTAAGTGAAGCCCTATACATCTGGTACCATTAAAACATTCAAACGCTGATCGGTGTCGATGTGGACGAAGGATCGGCAACAACCGTTTGTTCGGCCCATTCTTTATAAATCGGAAGGAACTTTTTGAAAGCTCTGAGAGAATATGGAGGAATTATAACACCTCCAGTTTGATCGCAAGCTCCTACACTTGAACCGTCTAAAGGAGAAAAGAGGTGAAACTTGAATACTCATTGATGTACAAGGTGGAGTTGTCAGTATAGCGGATGTGAAGTTCCATTGACCTTCTATAAGGTCATGGTGGACGCAACCAAGCTGAGTGAATCAACATTTATCCAAGCTTCATGAGGCTAGTCCGCCTAGTTGTTGGTCCAGTTCACCGTAGTAATTATTGCAAAAAATGAAGTAGTTGACTCGTTTGACCATTTCCACAACGAAAGTGGCAATTTAGAAGTGAATTATGCAGATATGGAAGTCCGACCCAATTGGTAAGGCCAAGTCAATTTGTTTTGCTTGAACATCTGCAACAAAATAGCTGCGCAAAGGCTAATCCCAAAGAGCGTCTCACCGAATCTCAACAAAGGTAGGCGAAATGGAGTGAAAGTTATCCAGCCATATTGTGGAGAATAAGCACTTGAATAAGCTCGACAAAAGTATAGAAGCACAAATCGTTCCTACCACAATTAACAAAAGTGAGTTACAAAGATAGGCAAAAGGCCACTCTCAGCAATTCGCTATCTTACTAGTCCATTTGGCAATAATTTACAAAAAAGTCCAACAACATGGACACTTTTGATTGCTCTTTATTTATCCATTTACGGAACCCTTAGTCAAAAAATTGTCGTATGCACACACGTACTAACACGAGCAGGAAGTTACCTGCTAGCATTAGTAAAGAAAACATAAAACAACATTCACGAACCGGTTGCTGGGTGAACAAAATTAGAGGGAAACAATTCACTGTTGCAAGCTTACAACTACCTAGAGAGAAATTATTTTTTGGCTTCAATATACAGTGCTTTAAATAAGAATAAATCTGTCGAATAGATATAAGCTGCACCGACTCGCGAAAAAAAGGAGCTCATCTTTGAATTCTGACGAATTACTATGGATAAAAACAAACATTAGCGATTATCTGAAGAAGGATCGACGATGAAGCTGAAAGGGAGGAGATTTCGAACCGAACTCAGAGACAATTTGTCCCCGTAAAAAGTTGCGGATGACCAGTGATCGTCCGTGCTCCTGACACTTAATCTGCGGTGGTCAAAAGAAAAACGTCTTAGAGGGTATTTGAGTTGCAGATAAGTTGAGTTGGCCGACATGAATAACACATGGTAAACTTCTACCTCTCATTTCTTCAGAAGGAAAACTTTATAATAGTCTAAAACAAAATCTTCTTGTTCCAGCGAACAGAAGATTGAATGTCATGAAAGGCTAGAACACATTAAGCAGTCTGAACGCCGGATAGCCAAAGAATGTTTCTAAAGGGCAGGAAATCCATGAGGGAAGTGACTGCGAATCTGACGCAGAATAAAACTACATCAAAACCATCTACAAAAATAAGGAAGGTCTCTTTTAAATGGAGTTTAAGTGTGAAGAAAAAAGGTATAAATAGAGGCTACAAAAACAAGTGCCAAAAGCAGAAGACTAGAAACGAGAAAGCGTTTAGGCGCGTCGTGTCTCAAAGTTGCCAAGCGCACTTACATGCTACATTCAGTGAGGAAATCCAGCATCCAGCAAGTGGAAGAAGGATTATACCGTGGAAGGTAATTGAGAATGAAGGCGGAAAATAAACGAAATGGGATGCGCATAGCAAGAGATCAAAAAGACAACAATGATTCAGCAACGAAAAGAAAGGCTTGCAATTAGATTCTCGTGAAGTCCCACGCTGGAAAGAAACAATAAAACACGGAACAGAAGTTAGAAAAATCAACCAAAAGCCACATTTATATATGAAAGGGGGCCTTCCTATGTAGTGACTGTAGATTACTTCTTTTCCAGTAAGTCTCAATGTCATAAAACGAAACACAAATGGACTTGATAAGGAGGGGAAGTTAACGGCAGCGTTCGGTGGGGCATGCGGACTGGAGCAGCCATCCGACGTTTGAAGTATGCTGCCATAAAAAGCGGTTACAGCAGTTTAACAGAAAAGCCGCTAAAATAGGGTCTATACTGTAATGATTTAAAAAAATACGCCTAGACAGTCTAATCGACGCTTTCAGCATGCGGAGCAGTCACATTGGCAAGATGGGTTACGAAAGCGACACTTTAATGGCACATAGACCCCCACTTCCGGTTTCTTTAAGTAAATAAGTGAAGCCGAGAATGTCTACCTTACAAAAAGGATAAAACCCAAATTCACACTCTAATAACAGGAATATTGGTTCTGCTTTTGTTAAAACTACAGCGAATCTTGATTTTGAGATCTTTAGGAACGGATTTATGAAGTGCTAAAACTGAAATGATTTTGTCGAGCCGGCAAATCAAATGTGCCCACTAAAGTTCTGTAGCAATGTGGTTTAGTGCGGTTTAAAGTAAGCATCGCAGTAAAAATTCTTATCAAAAACTAAAAATCCTGCAAAATTAAAGGAAATATGCAAAAGAACCCATAAAATCACCTAAATAAATGGGTCAATTCACCTTAAACTTCCGCTATTGATGCTCTCAACCTCTCTAGCTTCCTTGATTCATATATTTGAGGAGATTTCCAATCACGAGAACGTATGCAAAATTCGGTAAAACTTGCAGTACAAAAAGTTGCCAACATTGGTGTCTGGGCCAAATGCACTAGGTGGACAGCCTATGATTATCAACACAAAAGTACAAACTGTGTTGTGCAAAATAAAAAAGCCAACCGAACCAACAAAAACACGTTTCTATGAGACGAAACGATCGCGGAAAAGTCCTCTCTACTTCAGCATGATCAATAAGACAAAAAACCAAAGCCCATGACAGTTTAAATTGACGTTAAATCGCAGTCTGAGTTTAGACCGATGCCGTAGCGCTAAGAAGCTGTGACAAGCCTAAGGTTGGCGCCAAGCAAAAGTTGACAAAAGCGCTCTGAGCTACGTCAAACACGGCAAGCAATAGGCTTCCAAGCTTTGGTATCCTCATAACAGTTCAGATAGAGAAAAGAACGCATTAAAGTGAGGTAAAAGTAAACGAGAAAACTCGTCAACCGAAAAAACTGCATTAAGAGTAGGTATAGTTTTTTAACCTACGACTAAGCGCAACCATAAAAAGCTCAAAGAACTTAACGTGAAGACCATATTACAAATTCAAAAGGGGAGAAAAGTCACTACCTCTCGGTACGATACCGCGAGCAACTAAATCCCGGAAGTGTGCGATCTCCAGCTCAAGATTAGCGATTAAACGACGATTTGGAAGGATGGGGGAATCACAAGGTTGTGAATCCGGTGACTTTTTTCCGTCTTCTCGACATCCTTTTGACCTTGAGGTCAATTGACCAAAGCCCGCCATTGACCGGATAATGATTATCTTGGAGTTCCAGTAGAACTTTGTGGAGGCCAGTAGGGTCGCGTAAACATGAAGGCTAGGGCGCGCTGTGCTCACGCTGCCCGGAAGACCTTGGTCCAATGCCAGTTTAGCAGCCCTTGAATAGCTGGTAAGGAAATCTCGAACCTGCTTCGCAGTGCGACACCCGCATGCAAGACAGCTCCAAGTGAACTACAGTAGGAAAGAACAATAAAACCAGATGCCAGTTGATTACAAGGTTGAGGTCTACAAAGTAAATGTTAGGATAAAGAATAGAAAACTAAAACTATGTTTGCAGACAGTGGAAACAGGGACACGAGTAACAATGTATTAGGAAAATGTACAAAAGTAAAAGTGTACTTATAAAAATAGGGTAGATAAACAAAATTCAAGCAAGAAGCACAATCGTTGAAGCGTGGGCAAATCAGTTTGTATCGCTCAAAATGAGAGAAGAACCAGAGGTCCAATATTTGTTAGTTCTTAGCACTAATCGTAGAAGCAACAAAGGATGATCAAGACAAAGGTCGCCTGAAGATATAAAAGGCATCCTGAAATGGGATTTTAGCATCGAACATTTGGCTGACACGCATAGCAAGAAAAGGAAATTCAATGAACATTCGGAGAAAAATTTGTAGAAGTACTCACGTACCAAAAGATAAAGGGCAAGTGGGAACACTGATAGGCGAAACAAAATTACTGGAGATACTGCTAACAATGTTGATTGCAGCACTTGACCTGGCTTATAGAAATGGAACATGAACCCTTCCCTCATTGCCATATTTGGGATCCTACTTTCTAATCGCGCACAAGGTTCAAAGTTTTTGTTTATCCCATCTTTGAATCCCAAGTTTCCATAGCGATTGCAAATATTTATCATCGAACCGTACCACAATGAATAGTTCAGAGATAGTTGTAGTCAAATAACCATGACAAAAAGTTCTTTTGAACTAAAAATGACCGGAATTAGTAGAACTCATTCACGATGAAAAAGGAATTAAGTTTTCCAACTCGGTTACATTCTTTGACTTCCGCCTAGTAATGACCATAGTTACCTTGATTTCTCAAATAAAAATTGCAATATATCCTGGTTTTGGTTGTACAAAACTACACCAATACCTTGAGGTGGCCACAATAATCCTGCCCAAACTAAGGTTGGGAAAAGTAAACAACTTTCGGGGCAGTCCGTTTTGCATTCGCCACGCACGCTAAGCATGACTCGACGGCACGGATAAGCATACTTCACCTACAGTTGAAAGCATGATTTTTGATTTTGAGTGCCCAAGATCGCACACACGAAATAAGAGCTTACTTCATCTGGCGAGAGGCCTTGACGGTTTCCAATAGCCATCAGTTTGTCCACAGGTAGTCCATGCGTTGTTCGCCGCTGAAGGAGGGCATTAAGTATGGGCAAGTCTAAAATGACGCTGTTGGTAGCCATAGCATTAAGTAGTGCACTCTCCCACCGATCCAACCCAGCCTCCGTGTTCTCTGAAGGAGGTGGCAAAAGGGCGACGACCTTCGTAATCAGCGGAGATGTTGGTGTTTGCGAGAGCTAGTATAGATTGAAATCAGAAGTTAATATTCTCAACTCAATAAATGTTTTAAATGTCATGAACACCTACGAAACCTATGCATTCTAATTACAGTTTAAAAAAAACAGAATTGGTTAAGGTGGGCAGCAGTAAGTGTGAAATGGGGACGTAGATAGTGTCGCAAATTAGATTTGAAAAGAGCCGAACATAAATGGTGACATAAAGTAGCTGAGCAATTAGAAAACTATTTACTTTAAGCAGCTCAGTCAGAATTGTCTGAGTTAAAACCAAAACATCAGTAATGTAACAACTAGGGAAGCTCATTGTCAAATAGGCCTTCGTAAAGTGGCGAAACACTGAAGCAGTTACTCAACATCAAAGCAATGAGATAATTACCCTAAACTTGGTTCTAATACATTCCAAAAATCCCTCCAGTCCACCAAATAAAGCCAGTCGTTGCCACGGTGGGAAAGAATTGCGGTTATAAAGACCATCGGTCCTCGTGGGCACCTGAATCTGTTGGTAATGTAAAAGCGGAAGACAATGATATTCTACGGAACTTGTAACTTTTTAAAGCTCCAAGCAATCATCAATATCTTAGCGAATCCAGCCCGGTTAAAAAGTTCAGTTGAAATACAAGCCCACTAGAAGAAGTCCGTAACACCAGGCGTCGGGGGCTACGACACAAAAATGTACTCATATCCATCAAAATGCCTTGCTTGTTGCATGCAAAAAAACAAGGTTACCAAACCGACATAACGAGGTACAGCCGCAGCTCGTTTGCAAATGTGATATGAAACTTGCAGAATGCTGGTTATAGGATTATGAGTTGCGCATACCCTCAAATACAATTCCAAGTGTATGTACGAAAATCCACGAAAATATACGGCCCAAGAAAACCATCATATGAAGGATAAACTTTTATGATAAGCAATAACTATTGAATAATTGAAGCTTGCGTTGAGACGTAACAAAACTGAGGATGATTGCAAGATGCCGTATCTGCTATGAGAATTTAGATGTGCTTCAGACAAATGAGCTGTATGCTTCACAAGCGATTTTGCCTTACTATAGATTTGACCTGCACGCGATAAAATGAAGGGTTCTATCAAACAGCCATTCCACGATCACATGAATCTTTTGAAGAAAAGATTGGAAAGACTCCAAGGTCCTTTCAACACCAAAACCGTGAGACTTTCAGACTTTTAGACTCAAAGTTAGAGTTGGACTTGATCATTAACAGATAAAAGTGGTTAAAGTTTATTTTCTACGGATGAGTTCTGGACACAGACAAGGACTTTACATGGCTTATCGTTTACTTTGATGTCACTCCTTAAACAGACCTTTAAAATCACAAGTAAGAAAAACGCGCAATGCTAATGACCTGAATATTTCCAGTGCAATGTAGCCCTCCTATAAAGCTGACAGTCAGAAGTTGACTTTCGGTTTGTAGATTTCAAAGTTTGATTCCAGGCCACATTAAATGCTGGTAAAAAGCTCCGCAAAAATACAATTTTGGAGTGACTTACCCTAACACCCTTCTGGGGAAGCGGTAGTAAAAGATTTACTGGGCTCCGCAGAACTATGTCGGGATTAGTCCAGTCAGGACAAAAAGTATCAGGCAACAAACTGGAGGAATCTGAGGATGCAACCGATAAGTAATTGCCACAGGAGATTGGGTTGCTAGCAGCTTGTGATATCGTATTGCCACCCGACGCCAGAAGTGCCACTCGTCTCAAGAGGTCATTTGCCGCTTTCTCGGATGCCAAGATGCGTGGGGACGGGGAAGGCTGCTGTTCCCTCAGTTTTGGTAAGCTCTCAGGAATCACCTACGGTCACGTTGTCGACCAAAAAAAGTAGGTTACTTTACAATTAAAGTAGCAAGAACGTTATCCCAGGAAAAAGGGAATAGGCTAATGGCCCAATGCCTAAGCCAAAAAAAAACATAAAATTTACCGATATCAAATGCAACCATCCCTGGCATGTTTGGTAGAAATTCATCATCAATGACACCGCGTTTAATCAGTTCGTTAAATTTTGGAATATACACAAGTAAAACCGAATGTCATAAAAAATTGCATCAAAACGAACGAAATGTAGCTCTTCGTCCTTGCTATTCCCCAGTAAAATTTGCTACCTAGTTGCATGGTCAGCTTTTAAGGACACACAACTAGACTCATCAGGTTCTCTTTATACTAGCACAAAACGGTAGAGGCGAACAAAAAATACTTCACCTCAAGATAATTCTTCAGCGAAGTTTCGGCCTTGCGACGCCTAATGCCCCTTTCAAGGGAAAATTGACTATTCCTGGACTCCTCGAGAGCTGCAATTCCGGCGAGGAGAGTAAAGTGGTGTAAACTGGGCTGTCGACTTTCTAGACGAGGAAGAATGAGGTGCCACGCGTGCAGTGCTAGGTGAAGAGCGTCAAGCGGTGAGACGAGGAAGCCGGACTTGAATGACTGAAGCACTGCAGTGAGAACTGCAGTTAGGGTGTACTCATCTGGTCGGAATGGCGGAAGGGGCTCAGCCGAGATGGTGGCCGGAGAAGCAGTCGATAAGGGCAGAACTGGTGGCGGTAATCCACCGCGACCAAGCAACATAGCATCCAACACTTGGAAACAGGCATGGAGATCACCGGCTGAAAAATGAGGTATATCGTAAGACGCTTGTAACACACAATGAATTGTTTGCAAAAAAAACGTAGTGGTGCAATCCAACGATACCTTTAGCCAGAGTCTGTAGAAGCGTGTTGTAGGTGATCCGGTTCATTCGAAAGCCACGTTCGTGCAGCCGAATCCAAAGACCCTTCGCACGTTCAAGGGCGGGTCCAGCAAACAAATCAAGGTCGGGATGAAAACTAAAACAATCGACTGTTATATCAGCTGGATTGGGACAATATGAAAAAGCTAAATGATTTCAATCTTTCGGAAATTCACCTCACATCCTTAAAAAGACTCGGTTCATTAAAACTGTATCGATGCTCCCGCTGCCATGCGGCAATGTCCTCAGTGCACGCCCTACGACAGGCAGTCAAATCCTGACTCAAAGGTAGACATTTTTAGATACAAATTTAAGCTTTGCACCCACGTAGTGAAAATGGGCGGCGTTTGGTATGTCAGTATTAAAAAAATGAATCTACCTGAAAAGGCGTGAATATGTGGAATTGGTAGCCGGGATGCCCATTTCGGTCATCTTGCGATAAACCTTGAAGGCGGACTCACTGTCACCCACCTCGGCCAGTCCATTCAAAAGAACATGAACAATATTTCGGTCAGGCATGACCCGATCGATGCTCAGCATTTTGTGAAAAAATAGCTAAGAAAGCAATCAAATCATTGGTTTAATATGTGAATGGACTACTTGGCACTTAGTCGCAGGAAGAGGTTCCGCCCAAGAGCGTTGAATAGTACATGTTTACTGTACGCATTGCCATGCTACAAGGGTATCTACTAGGCATGGATACAAATATAATACCATTAATAACTGCATCCAAAAAACACCAAGAAATAGCACCTTGGTCCATCAACTAAAGAGGCAGCAACCCTAATCTTACCAGGCAAAAATCCTAACTAGCTGCCAAAAAACCTCTACGCCCACCAAAACCAAACATGTTTTACCTCAACTGCAGCGCGTGTATTTCCATCTTTACAGAATTTGTTTATTCTCCAGAGATACCAAACTGGATCGTGTCTTCTTCCAGTTTTTGATAGCCGAAGTTCATCGTCCGTAAGAGGTCGCTCCATTGTGGCATCAAACTCATCGAAATCATCAAACTTCAATAAACCAGCTGAATATTTCAATGAGAAGTGTAAACAATCAGATATTCAACGAGATCAACATTAAACAAAAACGTAGGAATTAAAAAAACTAGACCTACTCCTATCAGCAAGATCTCCGAACTTCACTGACTCAGAATTTGAACTGTCCATGCATTTTTTCGTTGTGCTATCAGTAACACAAGCAGAACTTGCAGGAAACTGCACACGGTACACTCGCTTGTCCAGATCGTCGACCATACGCATTAACTGAGGAGCTGTAACAGAACCTACTCGCCGGGTGAAGAGCAACGTGTATGCAATTAAAGCCGACCTTTCTCGAAGATGAAACATAACCTGCGTAGGAGGAGAGCAAACGTGTGCCAGGCCAATTTTATTTTACCGCCCACGAAATAGGATCACAAGAAAATTGAATTTGCTTGAGGTAATTAAGAAACGCTGCTTAAAAGCTAGGTACTTAAAAAATTATCCTTGAAAAAAATTATTTGCTTTTGAACCGAAGGGGCCTTTACTTTTTCAAGTGCGAGCCAAAAATGACAAGCTAAACAATAGTTGCCACCGCCTACTCAAAATAAGGAATAAGGTTGCATATGGTGTAATTGTAGCCTCTATAAGTGTAATGATTTGTGTATTTGACTACCTGACGTTTGGCGGTCACTCTAGGATTTGTCTGGCCCTTGTACACTTGAGCCGGCCTTCGGGTCACGCTCAGGACCAATTTGCCCTGTCGTCTTCGGAATACATGTATTCAACCTCACTTATGCCTTCTTCCACCCTATGGGAAGCCTCAGGACGCTACAATGGTGGCAGCGCAAAGCGGGCTCGACATTTTTTTTAACTTTTAGGTATAAAGTGGTTTGGAAGATCTTCTGCTCCAGCCGAGATGGGGTCTCTCTGTGGCGGATGTTTTTCGTTAGTCGTTTGTTAAAAGTGACATAGTATCCAACAGACGTCGCTGTCTTACTGACATCCTACGTTTGCGTTGCTAAACTTTGCCAGTTAATCGACTGATTCCCGAAAAAAGAACAATACGAACAAGCCGACAAGCAACGGTTCAATCGGGTGATGCAATGGTTCAATACATGCAGATACTCCAAAATCGGATTCCCTTGGCCGGAAAGTTGAAACCCCACATTTCACGACAAGAAGATTATACTTCAACCAGCAGACAGGACTGCAAAGGAATTCTACATCTTGGTGGAGAAATCCAGGATTGATAAGCGCATTTTGGCGATTTGGACCGGCAATCATGAGCAATAGATGAAGATACAGGCGAAAAGGGACGCGAATTGAAGGTGACGCAATTACCTTGGTCGTGGGCGAACCCCCGAATCCCTCACAAAGAAAGGATCGAGACTAACGTCTGCATTTGGTTTCACCTTATTCCCATGTACCACAGACAAGCTATTAACAACTGAAGCAACACCGCCGTGAACCATCTGAAGAAGCTTCGTGTTGGAAATTCGCATACAAAACCCGTGGATAGGTGTCGGAAATGACACTACGGTTCTCCTCACATTACAGGACAGTGGCTTATTCCATTTTCTCTGTAACATATCTGCTTTATATCAACATTCCACCATCTAGTCCTGGAAGCACTTGATGGTCAACAGGTGTATGCGGCCCCGAATCTGGTTGTTAGACCGAACGCAACCCCAGATCCAGTTGAAGGTGCCGAGGAGACCAGGTACGGTTCCTCAGTCTGATGCTATCTGTCGACTGGCGCGGATGGCTCGTGGGTGCTTTCTAGTAGTACCGAATATGTTGTGATGGCTGGTGCAGGAGGTGTACCAAGGCGAGCGCCGAGGACGTCGCTCAAAAGAAGGGATGGGCTGTGTAATGCTTTGTTTATGTGACCACATGAAGTTTGGCGGTCGATTTAGGATTTGTCTGGCCTCTGTACACGTGGGCTGGCCTTCGAGCCACGCTCAGGCCCAATTTCCCCTGCCGTCTTCGAAACACATGTAATCAACCGCACTTATGCTTTCTTCTACTCTATGGGAAGCCTCAGGACGCCACAATAAGCTTTGTAAAATGTTGGAGAAGGCATTAAGTGGAGCTAAATGCATGTATATAACGAAAAAACGAGAGAGATTGAATCTTGGTTGGTCCAAAATTAAACTGCAAAGAGGTCATGCATTTGTAGGCCCCGATGTAGCGTCCCGAGATTTCCCATCGGGCAGAAGAAGGCAGTAACTGAAGCTAGATACATGTATTCCAAATGGAACAAGGAAATCAGATATGAGCATGGCCCGAAGACTAGGTCACACGTACAAAGGCCAGACGAATCCCAAAGTGATCGCCAAACGTCAGGTAGTCATACAATCAAAGTATTACACCCGGGACTTCTCATTAGGTAGAAATGAGAATTGAAGTAGACTGAATACATGCACTCTATGAGGATAAGAAAGGATTTTGCCCTAACTTAGCTCAGCCCAATTGTGAGGTAATCTCCATACATCAGGTGGTCACATCGACGCAGTAATATGCTGTCCCTCTCTTCGTTTGAGCATCACTCGGTACTTCTTTTGGTATGACTCCTGTACTAGCAATTATAGCACTACCACAAAGAAAGTACCACCAGCCAATTGCTCCATTCTGCAGCTACATGAGAACGAGGAAGCCTACTTATTATTTTCAGCAGCCTCAACTGGATTTGGCCTTTCTTTCGGGCTGAAGGCACGATTTGCAGGGAGGATTTCCTGTTGCTTACGAATTATTTCTAGGACTAGACACTGGTACGCTGGTCTAAAATAGATGTTTAACAGGGAAGAATAGATCGACCACAGCCCCCTATGGAAGCGCATCCGCAGCATTGTCATTTCCAACACCTATACGCGCGTGTGGTAAGGCGAACTCCAATGCATATGCCTTCCAGATGACCCACGCCGATGTCGCTTCAGCTGCTAATAGATGTTCCGTCGAACAGAAGGTTAAGGTGTAGGCAAACGCAGGCAGAATTCATAACCCTTGTGCTGGGAAGTATGTAGGGTTTCTCCCTACCCGAATATAAGCTTGCCTCAAAACAATAAATAGAGGTCAAAATTGGTGAATATCAACGCAGAAGTAATTAAAATAATCGGGTTTGCTTTATGCTGTCACCAGTGTAGCGCCTCGAGACTTCCCACCGGATAGAAGAAGGTATTAAATTGGGCATGGATTCTAGGTGGCGAGGGAGGGATTAAACCTTGGTTTGGTTCGAAGGTCAGTCCATGTGTACAAGAGCAGGTTGAATACTAAAGATGGTATTACTAACAAATCATGCGGCATTGCCTCTAAGATATTACACTCTACTTTTTTAGTTCACAATTTTACGTATTTAGCCCATTTATTTCGTCTTTGGCCTCCTGAGACCCGGTTCTGGTGTAAGGAATCATAATATGACGGTTGAGTACGCAGGTTTTGAGAAAAGAGCGGGGATTGATTTTTATTATGAAATAAATTAAGCTCGTCCGACAGAAGCAAAGTGACTGTAGTACATACCAGAGTGTTTAAGTTGACCTTTTCGGGAGAGAGGCGGGAATAGAAAAATTGGAACGCGGATCCCGTGCGTGAGGACGGTGAGGAATCCCTCTCCGGTCGATGTCTGCTATTCGGCTCATCTGTACTCTTATCTCCGTTCTTCCTGTAATCAATGCCTAATAAATCTATTGCACCTAACCCTCTCTCAAAGTCCAGTTCTTACATTAATCTCCTCCCTTACAGGGAGGTGCGTTAGGACTGGCCAGTCTTAAAGCCATAGAAATGCCTTTTTTTGTTATAGTACCGATAGTGGTCAATATGTCTTTCATGTTGCGGCAAACGATAGTACAATTCTTTGTTCATTCAACTAACTACGGAATTAAGGGTTAATTTTTAGACAATTTTTGAATGGTTCTCCCAGTCTGCCGACATCTTAAAAGTCTGTGTTTGCCCTTCCTTGCTGACCACAAGTAATCCAGTTCTGGCTTTGGCTTTAATTAGGAAATGAGAAGTCTATGACCGCTACACAGATGTTTCGGAGGAAATCGATACTCATAATACCTAATTTGTGAGATTGACATGGTTGTGATCATATGGTCACTACCAAAAAGATTGGTCCCTAATGTACACCAATATCCCCTTTTCCTTCCTTTCTGCCCATTCATAATTATTAAGCTAGGTTCTAGGGTTTCAAATTCATACTGGATACTCCGTGGATGTAACGTCGCGAGGGCTCATGTTTTGTGACAGGGAGCATTGGATATGAATGGCTGCGTACATTCAGACGAAAAGCGCAAAGGCGATGCTATGGTCTGGCCCGAAGGTCATCCTATCCAGCGGAGGAAACATGGCCACAGAAGTGACCGCCATTCTTGCAGGTAGTCAGATAAGTAAATTACCGCAATAGGCGCCGCCAACTTAAAACCGTAGTCTTTTAGCACAAAATGAGTCATCATTTTTTGGTGAAAGATGAGTCTTTATATCTCCTTAAATTCCTGCTTTGTCCCATGCATTGGGATTTATCGTAATTAAATGAGTGGTATGCCAAAATTTATTGCAGTATAGATGAGCTTGCTTTAAACGCACCTGATCTTGTACTTGATTAATGTGTGCCTTTAACGAAGAACTGTACGGATAGCTATGTCAACAAAAATTTGTTTGAATGATCCATTTGCTAATTAGGTTGTTGAAATCGGACTGTGTTTGGCCATCGTGAGGTGCGTATGCTTTTCGGCATTCTGGATTTCATCCAGTGTTGCTAAGACAACGTCTCGTATGCGGATCATTTCCCCAATCAATTTATACTACTTACACTCTGTATGCTCCCCTTGGAACTGTAAACACTTTTCATCTCCGGGGACCGAAGCAGATAATATTTCTGGTTCCATGGAGCCATCATAATGCTTCCAGTGATGGGCATCCACGACTTATTCAACTCTTAACTTCCACTTACTTGTTTGTTTTTTTTGTTTTACGAGTTGCAGTTTATAATCTGTAGAAGTCTTGCTATCACTTGTTTGTAAACGTATTACTAGTAGATTATATTCTCCCAGTATATAGGGTATTTCAGACCAGTTGTAACCTCATGCTCATGCTTGTGTTTAGTGGCTGTCTCGTTCATTTAATCTTCGAGTGGTTGATTGTTGCTTTTTCAGAAGCCTGAGTGATGTATGGTTCCGGTGACAACTACTTCGGCACATTGATTCCATCGATGCCATACGATGTTGGAGAGGGTCGGAATCTGATATCGTCAGCTTCACCGCGCGCATCTCAGCCGACACCACCGACGCATATTCCCGTTGACTTTGCTACGGCCTTGGCTCTGGCGGCGGCTTCAGCCGCAGCAAACAATGGTAGCCTGAATGGTGTCAACAATAGTGGGAACAATGGTGAAGCTATTGATGGGGAAAAAATAAACTACTGTTCGATCCCACCAGCAGGACTAAACGATTATCCGGCAAATTGCTATCCTCCTCCCCAGTCGACTTCTCCGGCTGAATACAACGCAATGTACCTCTCCCGAGGGACCGCAGGTGGTGGGAATAGCACCTTTTATCCTGGGCATTCATGGCCCTATCAAAACGCACACCAGGATTGTGACCCTGTTTACCATCACGCTGCGGGGAGTGGATTCGCCACAGGTGATGCCCTTCAGGCTTCACCTTACAGTGCTCAATTCGGCGAACGCGTTGGGCTAAATGCTTCTCCCTACATGATGTACTCTAATGGAATCGCTGATGACCTTGTTGAGCGATTTAATTGCGTCAGTTTGAACGATGCCGTTGCGGCACAGCAACCTTACATCTACCCCACATCTCCGCTACATCAAAGTGACCCACTAGTTGACAGTCAGTGGCAACATTTTGTGGGGAAGGTAATCGTAATTAAACCAAAACACCTGTGTATGCCAGGAATCCTGTAGTCAAATCTTGTTTGGATACGTCTATTTGCCTAATTCCTTCGATATTTTTAGTTCTTTTGTGGTTTTCACCGATGTCAGTTCATTGGGGTGTTTTTATCTGGAATTTGCACGGTTTTATGGCCGCAAGCAAGATTAGAGGTTTTAATGTTATTCTCATTCGGACAATATCGATGGATGCTTTCTACCCGAGTCTCGGGACTCATTTGGAGCTCTCATTTTCCTCTGCACATGGCCAGCTTTGGCGGTATCTGAAGATAGGGCTACTCTTTCATCCTATTTTGAACGCACGATATAACGTATAGTAGTGTTTAACTTTGGTCATGCAAGCATTGTCTTCGTGACTAACAAGGTTCTGTTTAGCTTTTTATTCGATAAAAATGTAAATGTAATCGTGTTACGGTGGGTAGAAATAGCACTGATTGTTGGTAGCTACAATGTTTTATTCGTGGAACCCCCGTGGATTATATGTCTTAAGCTTTAGCCTTTCTCCATAAACTTGTCCTTCATTTCCATGCGGTAAGCTTTCGAGTCGCTATTTTCATATTCGTTTTGGTTACATGGCTACTTCATTGGGAACGTCATTCTTCACCAGTTTCTAAGCACTATTGCTAAATTTAAATGGCGGAGATAGTGAATATATTTTCTATTTATTGTTGGGCAAAGGAACTGCTTCCACCTTACTCCCTTCAGACAGATGGCACGAGTTGAATTTGAATTGTGTTCATTAGCCCTTTTTGGTGGTGTAATTCTGGAGCGAGATAGGATACTTAGTCTTCTGGCAGTGGTTGTTTGAAAGTTTTTTTATAACAGACCCGTTTTGATAAGTCATTTATTAGCATTATGATGGTTTCAAGCCCCCTTTGAGCCATAACATTTGTATGCAATCGAAGCAGAGACAGCAAGGTCGGAAGTGAACGTCTTTGGAACCAAATAGAGTAAAATTGCGAACAATTTTTTCTTTTAATGCTGCCCATTCTTATCATCTGATTATATGCATAATCGGTAACAACTTGTTTGGACTAAATCTGATGCCGAGTGCGCTCCCTTTTGTGGGCTTCCATGTTACTATTTGCCATTTGCAGATGGCTTCACAGCCGCAAGTGGTTTAAACATTGCGTTTCTTATTCCCACAGGACCGTAACGGCTTCGCCGTCATGGGACCAGGAGTTGGTCGGTTGGCTGATCGTTATCAGCATGATAGTGGTTGTTCGGGTGTCTCTCTCAACGGTGACGCCCATCGTAATTGGGCTCTCGGTAGTGTTAAACTTGGCAATAGCCCTGCTGATGCTTGTAACTGGCCCGGTACTAAGCGGTCACTCCACTTTACGCCAGGTGATGTTGCTACTGTAATGGGAAATCCGGACACCTCTGGAGATATGATGGGATTCAGCTTCAGGTTTGTTGTGCAGTCATTATTTGGAGAGTTCGAGGTACATTTGGTAATAATCAAATTTGATAATGCTCCCTTGATATGGCTGTTTTATTGTTTTAGATGTGCGGGAGTTGACCAATAGTAAATAAATAAATAATACATAGCTGCATGAACTATTTGTCTTATTGAATTCCTGAGCCTGCTCTTAGTAATGGTGTAGCATGAGCATTATTAGTAGAATGTTTGATCTTTAGGCACAATCGGCACCGCCCTCGAGTACAGAAGAACGGGGAGCGACCCGTTCCCTGCGCTCCTCGAGGAATCATCAGGGACGGTGTGTATGAACGTCTAGCCGATTCCAGTGCGAGCAACTTAGAAGAAGCAATGAATAAGCCTTCCGGTATCAACAGTACTGGGGACTCTCTCCAAACTCGTCTCATGCGTCAAATCAATCCACCGACCTTCAATACCAACCCCTCGAGGGCTCGTTTCTTTGTTATTAAGTCTTTCTCGGAGGACGACATCCATCGCTCCATAAAATATTCTATCTGGTGCTCAACAGAGGCAGGCAACAAGAAGCTGAATGCAGCTTACACAGAGGCTGCTAATGCTGGAGTGCCTATCTATCTGTTCTTCTCAGTCAACGGATCTGGTCACTTCTGCGGAATCGCAGAGATGACCTCAGGTGTGGACTACGCAACCCGAGCGGGTGTCTGGGCGCAGGACAAGTGGCAGGGTCAATTCTCAGTCAAATGGATATATGTCAAGGATGTGCCAAACGTGGTGTTGAGGCACATCCATCTCGAAACCAATGACAATAAACCGGTCACGCATTCGAGGGATACTACCGAGGTGCCCTTAGAACATGGACAGGAGGTCTTGGAGATATTTGCCAAATATGACAACGCTACCTCCATTTTGAACGACTTTGACTACTATGAGCGGAGGGAGCAGCAAGAGGTAACCGCTATCAGACTTCCAGTCTAATTCATATGTACTTCCAATCGTAATCAGAAATTGCCTATTATAGGAATTTCACGGATTTCATTGTATTTTTGATCCACAAACGTAGTGTCTAAGGTCATAACATCCCGTGCTTGCAAGAGCTCGCCTAGCCAATGCTCCCACATCTACCAACCCACTATGCGGCTGTTGGTCCACATTAGCTGAAAATGCCCTCCAGTTCATTTCTCAGAATATTCCATTGGTGTTTCACAACTGAGTTATCTCTATAACCACTGACTAGCACCGTCCCTACTTGCTTTGGCATTGGTTGACTAGTTTCGTCATTGCAGCTGTGCAGCTATTGATCCAGACTTAATCTACCTTTCTTCAGCTCAATCGGAAGGAGACTCTTCGAAGGCGATGAAACTACGAGCTCGTCGTCATTCGCTACTGATCAGCCGTCAGCAACTCCCCTTCTTCGCCATCTTAGCGCCCTGTAAAGTAGCCCACTATTGTTTGTATAGAACTGCTGCTCTTCTCCAAAAACACCAATTAAGTACCACTTAATAATTGATTTTAATTGATTGCAATGGACACTGTTTTATCAACTTGCTTCTTTCTACTTCTGCTAAAAGAACCTCATTTCCTTTCTACCACTCCTTGTCCTACTCTGGCCCACTTTCATGGACGCCCCGTCTGTCTATCATGTAAACACTGGCCTCTGCATAATTTCTATCTGGCAGAAAGGCTGTGTACACCACTCGAATGCAAACAAGCGAAAGGGCTATTTTCGAAAGTTACGTCTGTCTCATGCCTTTTCTTGCTCTTAACAACCTCACTGTTGCGATTAACGCGTGCTTTTGACGAGAACTTTTTGTTCATAAGGCGGTGCAGACTTGCTTTTAGCATTTTCTTAGTATTCCAAGCTCCAGCAATAGCAAGGCAATCCTTCTACATTACACTGAAACATCATTTAGCAAGGTAAGTGTACTCGGATAGTGACATTTGTGCTGTGCTGTCAGGTTAAGGATGTGAGTCGTTGAGTTTCATTTCCGAGGAAACGGACAAAAAGAACACTGATCTCATCCTCGTTTGTTAGTTTGGCTAGCCTTGCCTCAGATCGAATAAAAGCGAAGAAGTGGCGCTTGGCTTTAGCAAGTGTGGCCGGCGTCCAAGTCTCTTGGCTGGGAAGTTGAAGGATCACGTCCTCCTGATTGGGTAGGGCCGCCTTTTTGTCGCCTCGTGATTGAGCGGCAAGGATTATGCTAATTACCTTATTAACGGTCCTTTCAACAACCTGAAGTTAAAATAATCGATCATGTTGTCTCAAGAGAGATCAATTGGCGGAATTAATTGACATGCGGACAGTTTACTGGTCTCCATAGATCGCTTTATGTCAAACCTCCAAACACTTGACATCTGTAGACAATCACTGATCGATGGCGAAATATACGGAACTTTAATATTCTTTACCTGAACGTAGTCGGCGGCTGCGGATTTTGGAACAATAGTTGACCGGTTTGGTTTGATTTTCACGGTTGACTGAAGGAGGTCATGGATCACACGATTCGCCAGATCCTCTACCGACTGTTTAAGTTCGTCTTCAGGATCAAGAGGTCCATTTGCTCCCGGCAGACAAATTTCATAGAGTGGGCTATCCCATCGTGAGACGCCGTTTGGGGGTTCAAATCTATTGACAAGGTCTGTGAAGAGCTCCTGTGGGTAGCGGGCTGCCTGAAAGCACCGGTAATCAATTCACCTACTAGACCTCAAAAGAATCTGCTCTGTTACAGTGTTATCCGAAAGAATATTCCGATCAGCGTAACTGACATCGCAGCCTGAAAGTTCTCCATAACTGGTGCAATTGTTTTCGTTTCGATAAAAATAACCAGAGGTGTGAGATAAAAGAATAAACAGCTGTGGACGTCATTTTCACACCAATCCAAAAGTCGCTTACATTTTTAAATTTTATATAGGAATCGCAGGTGGAGAATGAGTCTAGGGCTCACCTGTGCATTGTTTGCCCGACACGTCGCCTCGGATGTTGTGCAATAGACAACGGCCTGCTGTTGGCGTAGGGCCTTCGCTACACAGTACATCTCATATCGATACCCCTTGATGTAATTGTTCGCATCCACCAGTACACACAGTGTCGAACTTCCTTTTGAAGACGAAAGAATCCTGTCCGTCTTGGAGAGAGACAATGGATCATTACTCTTATCCAGTTGCAAAATAGTACGAGATTGCTTGGTTTAGTACAAATAATGATCTTTGATCTAGTGAGTGCCAAAACCGCATTTTATTCCAGAACCATACTTTTAATAACACCATTTAAATCAAACTAAAAAAGGGAGAAATATTCTATCTAAAAAGGCATGATTATCAAAAAACAGAATCACTGCTACCAGTTAAAAGAACAATTTTGAGTCCCGATATTGATAATTTGAGCATCCTGGAAAAGCATAAAGGCTGTCAAAACGAAGACATGCCTGTGACTTTATCTGCGAACGCAGCTGTTTCTCCAGACTGGCATTGGTGAAGATGGCTATTCGAGGATCCTGCTCACTAGAATCGTTCGGTGAGATAGCACGTGCGACAGCTGCCTCGGAGATGACCTCAACAGCGCAGTCTAGATTCTGTTCACGCAACAAACCGGCCAGCATCATGGTCACCACCGTCTTGCCTGAACACGGATACCCACAGAGGAGTATCAAGGGCATTATCGACTCCACCGTATACCTGTGAAGTTGACACAGCGTGTAAGTTAACAGAAAACATTCACTGTTAAAGTTAAGATAACATCCCAGTGATGTTGCCAGAACATCAAAATAAGTTCATCAAATGATTACCCCAATCTGAACTCATAGCATACTGTAGCCTGAGTGCTAAAACGCTTTACCAGTCCATTTTTCACAACTTGTAATCGATTTGAACTCAGAAACGAAAATTCAGCGATTTTAAACCAACTCGTTTTCAAAAGAAAGTGGGTTACCGTGGTCACTCCCACCTTCGATGCGGCCTAAAGAGTAAAATAAACCAGGGCAGACAACAGAAAGAGGAAAACTTCACAGAAAAATATACAGTTTATTTTGTCGCACAACGGTGAAACGACAAAAGTTAAGTGGGATAGTGATAAACTTTAGCAGTTCCATCGGCCGAGGCACTGACAATGTAGTGCTGGCCATCTTTGTCGGGAGGAGCCCAATCCACTGCAGTAACAATATCCTGGTGGCCCATAAGATCAAAGAGTGGTGCAGAGATGCGTCGGGTGTCCCACAACTTCACTAGCTTGTCCACCGAACCTGTTACAAATTGATCGGCTCGGTGAGGTGCCCAGGTTATCGACGTTAACCAACCTTCATGACTCTGGAAGCCAATTTGAGCAAGAGCATCTATGGGAGAAAGGGATGTGTCAATAACGTAATGGGAAATCTACGCCATTCCGCAATGGAATAGCTCCAATCTAATGTAACAAGTCGGAAAAGTGTGTTCGGAAATAATCGATAGCTGTGTTAATAAACCAGAACCTTCTCGTAAAGGGAAATCTAGCAATCGCTTTCAATGTGACCTCACAAATGACTGCTAATTCGGTATCAATACTTAGGGGTAAACAAGTTTGCATTCTTGCACAAAAATGGTGACAGCAAACGCACTTTAATAAGGGTCTTGGTAGGGAAAATTAGGACTAAAAAATGGCGAATACGGGGTACTACTGTGCAATAGATAGGACAGCGGTGGCCATGACTATCATGACGTTCCAAACGAAAATGGTTTCAAAAAGACGGAAGAAAAGCGCACCTTTGGCTCTGAGGTCGAAAATTCGGACCTTGTTGTCAGAAGCGGCGACCAGAACCCCCTGTGGGGCGACGGAAAGGTCATGCAAAGCGCTGCCCACCATGATGCAGCGGGTCTCGCCGCACTTCTTTGCAACAGTCTGACTGTCACTTCCAGTGTCCACATCCCACAGACGAATGGACTGATCCCAACTGCAAGAGATGAGCTTTGGTACGGTTGTCGAAGCAACGCCCTCCGAATACCAGGACACCCGGCTCACCATGTTTCGGTGCCCTGCAAGGGTTACTCGTGGGATCTAAAGAAAGGCCTTATCACATTCTATAACAAAGACTTCAGTGTTTGATTAAACTTACGATTGGGGAAAATTAGGGCATACGATGGAGCATCCACAAGTCCATGGTTAAAGTAGTTTCAAAACAACGTGTTTATAGAATAAAAGTAGATGGTATGATCTGAGTGAAACGAATAAACCGCTTCATGTAAAATAGAACATCACCCCACACGGTTCCCACTTGGATAAAGGATCAGTTTTTAAAGTGATAGTGCTAGCACAAACAGGAATGTGAATACTGATATTACAAATACAGATTAAGAGAAAAATAATAAGTAAAGCTGGAGACAGATTCAGCTTCAAAAAATAACTCACTCGAACCGGAATTTTGTCCTCTGATTTGCGTTTGTGCGATACGCCTCCAGTTTCCATAACGAGATCAGTTTTCGCAGGATCTTAAACAGAAGTATTGCGTCAAGTAACAACTTCGATCCGCATAAAAGAACTAGGGTCCATGCACAAACCGAAAATAAAACTAATATACTTACCGGAAGACCACACCTTAATTGTAGAGTCATAAGAGGATGAAGCTAAAAGATGAACATTACAACCAGGAATTGACGAAGATGAAGAAAGTGACATTATCGTTTCCTTGTGGCCCCTGCACACAGCAACACATTCAACTGAAGTTTTGGCAGCATTCCATACCCAAATTCGAATAAACTGAGCGAATCCACCAGTGACAAATATGGAATCCTCCGAATCGGTGGTACCTGAAAAATTGAAGCAGAACATAGATTCATCCACATGCGCGAAGAGGAAACCAAAACAAAAGAAATTTATAGTCATTCAAAATAAATATTGAACAAAGCAATTAGTAAATTCACCTTTTTTGATCCATTCGACAGATTTAACCTGCTCTCCAAGGGAAAGAGTAAATATTGGTTCGGCGCACTTAACATCTTGTAGCTGTACAGCCCCATCATAGCTGCCCGTAATAATACTTAAACACAAATCAATTAGGGTTTTATTAAATTCATACTAATTTTCTCGACGCCTAACACAACTTATAAAATCTTCGTGAGTTATTTTCGAAAGAGGCTCAGGCGCATCTTGACGTACAGTGAATTCGATCTCAATTACTTCCTACCAAGTTACCAGGAGAAACCGAAAGATTACCAGCGTAATATTCTTCTTCGATAGAAATTCATCCAGTGTTCCTTCAATGAATTCATTGTGCAAAAGAAAATCAAAAGAAATTGAGTTTGCATGGCCTTGTAGCAGTTCTCGAAGAATATCTCTTAGGTCATCAGTAGTAGATGATCGTGGAACACTTATTGGATGCGAGGGAACAGAGTACCTGAAATGATGAGCATTAATGCACCATTAGAATCAGAACCTCGTATCCCGCGTGGAGAACGACACTTGCACACTCAGATCCATTGGACACTTTGTAAAGTCACACCCTTCGCGAAAATTTAAACAATTTTTCTTATAAATAAGAAATTGATGCGTTTCAGTACAAAGATTAAGCTTGATAGATTACTCAGCAAAAGGCCTACTAAGACACGAGAAAAGTTTGGCATTTTGCGCCCATTTTTGCTACTTTCGTGGGGTAGGATATCGGCTTTGAATTCATACGCATTGGGTTCTACACTTTCTCAGTCTATTTGATGTAACTTTTCGCCTGTATCATCGGATTCGAAAATCATTAAGATAGGTTAGGGTGCAGAAAGTGCGACGAGTTTGGGGTTGCCCGCTGGATCCGGATCATTTTAACCTGGCAAGTAACCATTTAACACCCTATCGCGAAGCCAATCTTAAAGAGGCGATGTTCGTCCAGCTACTGAGCATTCGGTTGCCATAAAAACCACTAAATACACCCCCTCATAGCTCAGAATATCAAGCCCGTTTGGAGCATGTTGAAACCGCCTAACCAGAAAGGATAGCACTCCAGACACAAAAATCCACAGATGCCACCATCTTTACCGGAAATGCACATTAATTCAGCCCCTCGTTTGGTTGACCACATACATCTGGGAAGTGCTTTGTTATTCGGTTTGATCTTGTACAGATAGGCTGACCTTTGGTCTACGTTAAGACCCACTCCCTTCTTCGTCCCCTAGAATGCATGTGTTCTGTCCAACGCGGCACCTTCTACAACCTAAAAGGAACTTCAGGCGCTATAATATCTTTACAAATACTGATGTGCTGTAGGCGTATTTGTACGAAACACTTTTGCATGCACTGCATGAAACACGAGTTGCATGATTCCACAGACGCAAGTGAAAGCAGTTTTTGCGTTGATAGACATCAAGAGTTGAGTATTTCTTTAAGGTCACAAAACATCCTGGGTATAATAGAGAGGTGTATTTTCAACTATATGGAGAGGTTGGTAGATGGTGTCAAATTCGGATGGTGCCGTTTACGGTAAAAATAGGTAGCAGAGATGAGTCCAGCGCCAATGAAAACAAGTGTGAGGGCCGAGATCATTACCAAGAGAGGAAAGGCTTGTCTACCCTGACGATTGAGCACCATACCTCCGACAGCCTGGAGCACGCTTGCACCCACGGAACTGCCGAGGTTGACAAAGAATATGATAATCCCTGTGACTGGTGTGGCAAGGCTAACCACTCCAAGGCCTGTAGGGAAGAGGGGACTCTTGAACAGGCCGAAACAAGCCGTGAAGGCCAGATAGATCGTGCGGTTGGCAGGCGCAAGGTAGAGTCCCAGAGCCATTGCCCACGCACCTATCAGCTGAATGGCGAAGAGAATGGGTAGAGGGACAACTAAGCTGACGGGCACCGTGATAACTCGAGCAAGGGCAAAAACGATCCAGTAGACACTGTTGAGAAGAAAGCAATCGCTCTCTGGCAAGTGAGCAGGACCCTCATTGGCAAAGACGAAGAGATACTTGGAGAAAACACGCTCATTACCCACCAGAGCCGCATAGAGTAGGAAGAGTGGCACTATTATATAAAGTAGTACCCTCTGTTGAGCTGCCAATGCTTGCAATAGAGCAGACTTTTTAGCTTCTGCCTTGGTATCCTTGAACTCCTCAGAAGAATCACTATCCTCGCTCTTCGCTGTGGTTGATTCGGAGGTCTCCTTTATAAATATCATCATTGTAAGCAACCGAAAGAATCGCCTCAACAACAATACAAAATCATCGACACCACAGTTTAAATCCTGTCAAAAATCAAGGATAAAGTGACACATGTAAACGCCAAAAGCGCTTGGTTTAAGTAAGCAGAGCAGATAAGCGATATTCAATTATGGAAAGTTAAAAGCCTACATTCCTACGGACTCCCCGGTGTATTTAGATTCTAGTCTACAAGGTTGCATCATCAAATGACAGCCCTTTAATAGCAGCCGCCGAATATCATTTAAAAGAGGGTGATTAGGCTAAGAAATTTAATAAAGTCCTCATAATCTGCCACGAACAACCCCCTTATGAAACTCATTAAACCAAAACCTCATAAAATCAACTATTTTATATCCACACCTACCACAATCATCTTAACGCGCTTTAATGTACTAAAATTGCGGCATATGATGCGAATTTAACCGTGAAGGAGCCTGACGACCCTAAAAAGACCTTAGTTGGGCAAAATCAAGCTGGTACTTTTGCGCTTTCACTGTCATAAGGGCGATACTAATGCCTCTTGTCATATGTGCAGAGATTAGTCCGATCATCAGAAAGCAGGATTAACCTCTTTGGCTGATTTGCACAAGCTGAAGCAGCAGAAGAGACAGGCACAGACACAGCAGAGGCCGCCAACGATGAAGTAAGGCACGGTGAGACTGATTATTTTATTCTGTACTACCGTACCGTTGGCAAGGGTTTTCTCCATAGCGAAAGTGAAGGGCGCCAAGAGACCAGGGGCCACAGCGGCACCCACACCGTAGCCCGAATGCATGAAGTTGAAGGGTCCACCCGACTTCTCCAGCCAAATCGAATTCAATAGCGGGTTCCCACCTGTGTTAGCAAGCGCAGTGAAGTTCAAGACAACGGTAAAATTAAACTGTGAACGGGAAGTTAATCACTAGCCTTACAAATGTTAAAAGTAGCAGCAATAGCTTCTTAAAAAGCGTCAATTTTAAGTACAAATGGAGAACATAACATGTTCGTTTCCAGTCGATAGAATTGGATAGTAATCCAGCCACGAAGTAGATCTTTTGCGAGATTACTTTCGATTCATATTCAACTGTTTTAGCCTATAAGACGCATGCAAATATCCCATAACGGCAATATCTTAAGCATCACGAGAAGGAGTGCTAAACCAATCATGCGTCTCAGCGGACATACTCGATTGCATCAGGAAAAAATCAGGACGTCTGCAATGGCTTTTGGTCTCCGCCTTCGACTACTAATTCCAACCGACATAGAATGCATATTCTCGTTCATGCAAAACACCATGCGGCGAAGAAAGTCCTACAGTTTTGCCACGTCAGCCAAAGATTCCAATAAGTGTAAAACACATTGCTGCATCCAAAGGGCTTTCATTCTGTGCAAATCAATCAGGAGCTGAAAACCACAAACTCATGTCTGTGATTGAAAGTAAAAACCACTTTACACTGTTATTTCAAACACAAGAGAGATTTCTATTCTAGTTACAAATGTATGCGAGAATATTTGCAAAGTAGATAAAACATCCTACTGAATGCAAAGTAGAGATTAAATTGGAGGAATCCAGACAACACAGGCTTAAGACTAGTCGCCATCAATGACTGTTTGAATCCGCAGGTTGTGAGGGGCGAACGGTTGTCTTGGGTCTAAGAGAGTATGGCATAGGTGCCAAGTTTTACCAGTCTACCAGGGCATTTTGCCGTTGGAAAGCATTTCACAAGCATCAACAAACTCTTAATTGCAAGGGCGATAAGCTTTGAGACACATAAGGGCGTGAGTTTGCATAAGCCTGTCAACTCACGATTAAGGTGCCGATATAGTATAGAGTTATTAACCTTGAACGAAGCAAACTTTGTACCTTATCCGCTATCACCTCCAGCGGAGGCCTAAAATTTGCCGATTCACCTTGAACCATCGATAAAACTAACAGTGAAACAAGATCGCATTAAATAACAGCTAAAACATGAAGTATTTTAATCAGTACAATCAATTTGCTCGAGGTAAAGCATCCATTTGCGCGGTAAATGAAAGTTGTTCTTTACATGCACTACAATGTCGTCACTAAGATAGAACGGTGTAAACACAATCCTGTTACATCCCTACCCAATAAACTTTAACTTTAGCATTGCAACTTTCATAAAGACATTGAGATGCCTTTGGCTCATCAATGCAATGGTTTGTGCTTTCTATTTTACATAAGCACAGACAAGAGTGATAAATCGAAAAAAAAACCTCTAAGCTGCTACTAATATGGGTGTCTGACCCACCAAAAGGCAAGAAGCCACCGTAGTCAAGCAAACGTTATGGACACAGACATTATGTGGATGGACTGATTCAGAAAAAACTCTGCCAAATCACTTTTACAGAAGTCATCGACTCCTTTCGCAATGAAACAATAGCCCGTCGCCTTCGAAGGAACACTCCAGAAATGAATGTGATTTCGGATAAAAATGAACACAAGGCAAGCCAGGTAAAATGAAGGGTAAACCATTGCTCAAAAAGTAACTCGTCAAAACACATGAGACTTGGGATCAAAAGCAAGTCTTAACGATCCAGTTTTGAGGCAATGTTTGCGCTATGTGCGCAGGTTGCAGAAAAAGCTGCGATTGCTAAACATGGATAACTCAAATCAATGCATTCCATAACAGTCGCCGGCGTAAAACAATCTTACTTAAGAAAATTATTTGTAATCTATCCACAAAGCTGAAAGAGTAAATCCAGTAAAAGGCGGGAGCGAAAAGGTAGAGACTTACTTGCAGTCATAGCGCCATGAGCGTAGCCGGAGAAGAAAAAGGTGGCAGAGAGGGAGGCTACGGTTCTGCACCATGGTACAGCACCGATTGTAGTTGCTCCAAGTATTAGACTGCCGGCCACAACGAAGTGCCGCCTCTTCACAAAGCGGTCAGCCAGGAAGGCACCCATCAGGGAACCGAAGAACATGCCCAATTCACGCATTGAGAGACAAGTGCCCAATTGCTCGGTGTCCGACCCAGTTACCTCTATGTACGTCTGCATTGAGGGGCCTAACACCTCTGCGCACAAACCCTGCCAGTTAGTTTGAGAATGAAAGTTTACACGTCCATTCCATGATTCCTTTAGGATCGCCCGCCCCGTTACTCTTTTACTCATTTCCAGACTTAACTTCAATTTTTTACCAGTTTTCTTAAATCAATTTCATTTCATAGGTTTTACATGGACCGACATTGCGTCCAGCTGACTTCACCATTATAATTTTTGCAAAAACAACTTCAAACTATATATTAGTACGAAGCCTAAGAAAGACAAAGGCTTGAAAAAGGGACTTGATTTTTAAGAGACAGTGGATATAAAGACTTCTTCTAAGTAGGACATCACAACTAATCATATTAATTAACAAAACTCGAATTTTAGACCGAGATTGTGGCTATCCTATCAACGACACAACGGGTGTCGGCTTCGCCTCCACAAAAATTCCTCGACAAAGGCAATGAATAAAAGACCAACAGCTATTTTAATCGCACATTACACTTGGCATCATGTGTGGTAGTTGATATGTGGCTAGTTACCATGCTTTAATAGGGAAATGGAGTGTATTTTTCACAGCCTCACCGATTAATACTAGAACACCACAGTTACAATTACTTTCAAGGAAAAAAATCATATTAGTAAGTCGATCGTTCACAGTAATACAGTGTTGCTCGAGTAACTAAGTCAGCTACCTTAAGAGCAGAAATCTTCAACATGCAACATCTTTAACTTCCCATGTACCGATTCAACTATGCTTTACACAGAATTTACCAACGCAACCTTATTTTGCGATACAATATCAGCATATCAGATTATGATCGGAAAGAGCATTGATGTCATGAACAAAAAAATAAAAAGTTAAATGAACCAATATTTCCAAAAAACGCCTCCACAAAGTCTCCTAATAACCATAAAGGTTAGGGTAGGTGCTCACAAATTTTTATGCCATTTTTGTTATATCTTTCCAAAAGAGGTTATCATAACTTGTTAAATAACACTAAATATAGTTAAAAATGGTCAAAGGAAGGGACTTCCTCCTTCTAACTTTGTCAGTAGTACAGCGAATATATGTCAAAGACCATTGTCGATGTCCGTAATCAACTGCTGAAGATAAAAAAATATCCATTTAAGGTGCTCCATGGCTGTGATCATAGTAAATCGCAGAGGTTCCTCACAAAGTGGTGGTAAATTGAGCATAAAAAAGTAGGATTAACATTAACTAAAGTGGCATACTTGTAAAAAAGGAATATTCTTCAGAATCGTTCGGAATTCGTTCTTCAGATTGAAAGAAGTTAGTTACAGCTACAGCCAAACCAGGTAGATTAAATCAGCAAAAACATTATAATCGTAAAGTCACTCTGAAAAGACATCACAAATAGCACAAACATTTCCAAGACTAACGGTAACAAGTGACAACTTGCAGAAGCATCAGTATGCGGTGAGGAACATACACGAACAACTCACCAAAGAGCACCAGCACAGAAATAGAGCTGCTGTCTTCGCTAAACGGCATCCAAGGTCAGACTTTCTACTAACCAGGTCAGATTCCAAATTATTTCTCTCCACTTCATGCATCCTTTCCAATCTATTGAGCGCAAATAAAGAAGCCGACCAAAAGTATTGAAATATGGTGGCAATTACATTTAAAGATAGAAAGACAAAACTTATCACACCAATCACAAGATTAGTTAATGTTCATTAACACAAATTACATTTCGCTAAGAATTGCAAGGTGAATGTTAGGATAACTGATCTATCAAAAACAACCACAGGGAAGAAGCATTGCAGACACAGAACCACGTAGAACAGGAAATATGCAGAGGCGATATAAAGTGCATGTATTTCTTAAGCTGGAACAAAGCCGGTAAATTAAACAAATTGCGCACTTCACTGCAATGTACATTTAAAAAAAGAAAAATATTAAAGCAACTTCATAAACGCAATATATGACGAGTAAAACCAATAATTCATAGAGCAAACAGTTGAGAAGCAATTGAAAAAGTATTCACAAGAGCGTACACAGGTAGTATGCAAAGAAAAACCAGCAAACGACTCACCGACCAAAACAAACCAAAACGCCCGCCTACTCTCGCTTTCATACTAAGTAGGTGAAAGCTGTCCTTGTGCTTACTTATTCAAAGCAACATAACAAATTGCAGTTAACCTAAATTAACATATTTACGTGTATGCTGAATCAATATAAAGTCTTTTGCACAAAAGTATTGAAAAAACGTTACGTAACGTAACGTAACGTTACGTACTTGTGGCTAATATGTCGCATAGTAACTATAACTCTTTACTAGCACAGGTTGTACCAAATCGTGTTTGTTATTATTTCTAACTTGGTTATGCTAGCTCCTCAGCAAATATTTTGGTGTCTTGCCAATAACTTTGGCCGAAATCGACTTCGACAAATGAGTGCATATCAGTTGCCATTTGTTCTTCTTAATTGTTATTACAAAGTCATTGTTGTTTCATCTCAATACTGTGTGCATAAGCCTTTTAAATGACTTTGACGATGTGTCGAGCATACAATTGGTCCAATGATGACACAGAGCTGTCCGTTTCCTGCTTTATTTATACGATTCGGTTTTTTTTTAATGCATCCTGTTTGTTTTTGATGAGAACTACTTTGCCACTAGCATCTGCTTGATTTTATTTTTGTTGCATAATGTTTCTGCCCATTGGTTATATCTGGATTCGATCTCGGTTCTTACAGCAAAGCAAGGAGAGGTAAAGCTGACGTCACAATGTCATATTTTTATCACTAGACACCAGATTTTTATACTTCTGCTCACTTTTGTGGTATACGTGCTTTATCACGCCTCCCGGAAACCTCTAAGCGTTGTTAAAACCGTATTTCACAGGAGGTGTTTGCCAACATCACAAAAAGAACCAAATTGGTGTCAATGGAAACCGTTTGGTATGCTCTCGTTGGATTTATTTTTACTCTTTAGACGCTGACAATTGGAGTCAGTTAGTTGGTAGTTTGGAATACGCTTATCTTTTATGTTATGCTTTTGCAATGTTTCCATGGTAAGCTGTCTCTAATTCTCCAACATTTCAGTGGACATCTCGCTGAAAGGATAGATTTACGTATATTTCTCACTGTTGGGATGGTGGCAAGCGGATTCACTACCATATTGTTTGGTTTGGGATACTATTTTGACATACACGTATTTGCATATTACCTTATTGCTCAGGTATTATTTCCTATTTTCAATATGTTTTTTTGAGGTTCTGGCTGGTTTTGCGCAGGCAACTGGTTGGCCTGCCGTCGTTACTATCCTAAGTAATTGGTTTGGCAAGGCTAGGTAAATGAGATTACTTGGCGTCGAGTTGACTGAGTGCTTTCTCTGATTGGTGTCCGCATTGTTTTCAGGCGAGGCCTTATAATGGGTGTATGGAATGCACATACCAATGTTGGAAATGTTCTTGGCTCCATACTTGCTGGCATTTTTGTGAATTATCAATGGGGGGCATCTTTCGTAGTCCCCGGTTTCCTTCTTGCTTCTGGCGCTTACATAGTCTATATTGTCCTGGTTGATCGCCCTAGTTCGGAACTTGACGCTGCATCTATTTCGAAGGATGCTGTCGAGCTACGTCGGAAATCTCCCGCTGGATATTACGGGGATGTCAAGGTGGCACTCATTGTCCTACGACCCTTTGAATGGATCCGTTCATGTGTCCCAATTCCGGTTAAAGTAGCTCTCTTTCGATAATATTTTATTTTAGGGTAGATTTACTTGATTTCACATTGATTTTGTGGGGTTGAGTAGCATGCTTGTGAAACCTGTTAACATTTAAGCGGTTTTTATTTCTAGACTCTATCAGATTTGAATTATAAGGAGAAACCGATATCATTTTTCGCCGCCCTTTGGCTGCCAGTGAGTTTGTGAAGACATGAAAGTTGATACCAATATTTAATTTCCGCGTTTAGTTTTTTTGAGTATGTAGCGAGAGCACTAGTTTTATGGTTAGTTGCTGGCGAAATGCCCTTCATTGTTTCAGTTCTCTCATGCAATTATTGACTTATCTTTGGCTGCTTCACCGTCATTGGTAAGCGGCTTATTAATGATTTCACTGTTCTCCAGACCTCTCACATTAAGTTGTAAAGTGGTTACTGATGATTGGATTTGTCACATTTCGTCTTCCAAATCTTAGGTTTCTTAATTATCTTTAAAATACCAAAGTGGTCTTTTAGCTTCCCTCCAAATTTCATATATTGTTAAATTCTGTTTTTTTAGAATGTTATGGCATATGCACTGGCCCTATTCTTTTCAAAGTTAGTAGCCTATACCTTCCTCTATTGGCTTCCTAATTTCCTGGCAAGCGTATCCAATGAGAGTGTCTCTGCAGAAAAGGCTGCCTGGCTGTCGACAATTTTCGATATCGGCGGAATCTGTGGTGGTATTCTTGCCGGACTACTTAGCGACACGGCATCTGTAGGGTTTTGTTGATATCTTTCGGAAATCTTGCCATTTGTTTATGGTTTTTCATGCCTCCTTTTTTTTAGTCCGACTCCACGGTAACCTCTCTTCAGGAGTCATCCTTACGGACAATCTATTTTCGGGCGGTAACTTGTGCATCCATGCTCCTCATCGCTGCCCCTTCTGTGAGTAACTCAATTTTATCTTTGCACTGCAGTATATGAGGTCAATGATTTGTGTTAGACTTTGAAAATTTTGTGTACAATTTGTCATTCTCTTCATTGAATAATTTCTTTGATTTCAATAGTAAACTTGTTCCACTTGTGAATATACTCATTCAATTTTATTTAATTATCACTTTTTGCATCATGAAGCTTCCCATGATTTCATTAGATCTCAGTCTGAATGGTAATGCTCCCTAAAAATATTTGCATGTGTGAAACTTGGGAAGGTGTATGAAGGGTGAAAGTGTAAGATGCATCCCTCTGTCAAATACCCAACAGCATGTAGCGGTTAATCTGAATATTTGGTATATTTCAAGGTTACCATTTTAACAATTTTTCCGGCTTTATGTCGCCATCTGCTTTATTGAAAATTAAAATTTTACAAGCAAGCAATTTGTTTGAATTCTTCACTTCTTAATTAGAACAATATTTATGTGCTAACTAATTTACTGGCAAAATCCATCAAGATTCCCGAAACGTCTATCTTCATTTGTAGCTATTCTTCTATCAATCTATCGCCGCAAGCCTATCATTTATGTCAATGGGTAAGTTTGTACCTTAATTTTTCTATAATTACGAAAAGGCATGATCTTTGGTTAGTGCGGCATCCCAATATTGCTCAAAACCTTGTCCTCAGCACTAGATTGTTCAGTTGTTTCAATGGTTGTGCACTGTATTTGCTTGTAGCAAGAATTTCGAAGTAGGCGTTGTTTCCTTTGCAATAATAAGGGAACCTCTAGGCCTAATCCATAAGTTAACCTCTGTGAGGCAACTGAATGTAGGCGCACACTAGCGGCTTTAAAGCGTATCACTGCATTTATGCAGTGATGCATTCATAGTTAGTGAGTACTGTCAGTATCATTTCATTAGGTATGCTTTCGGTATTTAAGATTCTTTTGGTTTTGTTTAGGTTTTTTTGCAAAGTCTCTCGTCACTAGTGTCAGCATGATTGCACTTGTTAGCAGCTGACAAGGTTGAATAAAAGCTATCCCCGCATGAAAGTGCCATATCACTTCTAAAGCCTTTTTATCAATTTAAAATGCTGAAGAGTTGTGTCAGTACGTAGGAAAATCGTCACCTCTCTTGCTTTATTGGGGTCATCTTCCCGAAAAACTGTTCCTTGCTACTGTTGGCCTTACAGTTCATCCGCGTTAGTGTGCAGCAGTCTAATTCCCTTCATCAATCGCCACGCTTCAAAGATTCAGGAACTGCAATTCCTTTATATTCCCAAGAGCGCTAAGAACGCCATGTTAAAAGTACAATCACGTATTCTTCAATTTAATAGGAGTGGGCTATGGTAATTAAGTTAGGTAGATCAATTGGGTTCATTTTTTGCGTATATCCTTTCTATTCGATCCATCACTTCAATAGACTTGCCTCCTTGCGAAGTTTCTTGATCTATATCTCCTGACATTTATCTTCCGGAAGTCTTTCGCCGATATCTTATATGCGTGGTCAGTTTCCGATGCATTTTGCGTTGATGTTAGTGGTGTAATAACCAGTGAACTTTTCAGACACCCACTCCTGTACCTCTATTTAAGTCAGGCTGTGTACCTTCACCCTTTACCCTTTTACCCTCACAGAGGCAGTCTTACTTTTTTGAATCACCGTAGTCCGGTTATCTGGGGATTTCGATTTCAGATCATTTTTGCTATCCTCCCGGTTTTGCAAGTATGTGGAGTGAGCATTCGCCACGCAGTATCCAGATTTCCCCAAGGTACTTGGGCACGCAATTCCCATAGCTTTGTCCACAAATCGAGACAACCCAATGATCCTTAATTCTATTCCACGTCATCCGCGTAATGTGACGCGCTTAGTAAGGTGTTGGAGGAAGTGCTCTCCAAATATGAATACTTTGATGCCTCCGAATTAACGAGGCACTGCGCTTGGCGTGGGTTGCCTTTGTCTTCTCATTTACTCGATTTGAATTTTATTTCACTGCACGCTACGGATAAATTAAACTCAGCGCATCCCAACTAAGTAACCGCGCTACGATTAATCTGTTTTGTGCTCCTTTGTGAAGCTTGTACATGGATCTGAATCGGTAGGACTGAAAACTATCCTCAGACGAATGTCAAAGAAAACATTACCCCTTTGCCGGTTCCTGGTTAGATTGAAATGTTGAGCGTTTGATGGTACGAGTCTTCAGACATGTATTTTTAATGTTTTTTATCTATCACAAAGCTTTGGAGCCTATTGAAATGCCTACATGAACATACGCGACTTTTCTCAACGCAGCTGTACTAACGACTTTTGACGGTTGCTTTTCTTACACGATCAGTCTTTCCCTCCTCCCTTAAGTCGTCCTCTTTATTTGTGGTGGTCTGGTAACGGGACCTTGTGCTCTGATTACAACGGCCGTCTCTGCTGACCTTGGAACTCAACCGAGCCTTCAGGGTAATTCCAAGGCCCTAGCCACCGTCACGGCGATCATTGACGGAACCGGATCCCTTGGTGAGCTCTGACGGTGACGATCATCATCTCCCCAAATCGAAATTACATGACACAAGGGCGAGCTATATTCACCTGGCATTATAACTATTGTAGACTTGAGTGTTATAAGAACTTTATCGCTCACAGTGGGGTCTAACATGGATCGAAAACAGTACAAGAGGATGTTACCCAAGTTAAAATGGATAATTGGCTTAACCTGCATTCTAGTTGCACTATTTTTTTAAAATGGCAATTCGTTGCTTTACCCCGTCAATTCACATAAAGCATGCACTTACCTAAATGACACAAAGATCGTGCTCACCAAGACTTTCGCTTACCCATATATCTAGGAGCGGCACTGGGACCGTTTCTCACAGGTATTTTGGTATACCATGGTTGGTTCAGCGTCTTCCTGATGCTCATTTCCGCAGACCTTGTGGCACTTACGATCACCCTTGTAATTGCATGCAAAAATCGCAACAGCGCCTACGAACTGGGTGTCTTTAACCTTCGATCCCTATTTTCGTTATGACTGAAAACCTGTCCTCTTGCATGCATTCCGTGAAGATTCTGTCACCCATTCCTCTCCTCAGCCCTCTTTCCCATGTTATATTTTTATGCAGTACTTTTTAAATACAGAATTGTCTCTTAAATCCAGTAAAAGGGTGAATTACGACAACCGCGCATCAAAGAGGCAATCAGACCATTCAACATCAGCAAGACTCCTACCGCCAATTCTTCAGAAAAGCCTACCTTATTACCAAATAAAAGAATTTAATAAAGGACGTATTGCTGATTCCACGTAATTTTGGCATTAGAGAATAAGAGGCGGTCGGAGACAACCAATGGCGAACAAAACCGTCTCCACTTCATTGCGCAGCGTAATCCGACCCAATGTCACAGTTTGTCTAAAATAAAATGAAAGGTCTGTGGTTAGCCATTGCGCTGAATGCTAGA